GAATGTCCATAAGATTCAAGAGTGGAATTAGAAGAAAATTTTTTTGCAAAAAGTTCTGTCTTATCCTTGGGAGAGGTAATAAGATCAGTTCCATGAATGAGAGATGGAATGTTAGATCTACCCTTGTTAATAATGCTGTTGAAGATTTTCCAAAAGTCTTTAGAGCCTAACTTCTGCGATAAGATGCGAGATTTAGTGAACTGAGAATAATGGAGTTTAGCATCAGAAAGCACCTTTTTACATCGATTTCTTGCAATAATAAACAGCCGTTTGTTCTCAAGAGAGTTGTTCTTTTGAAAAAGATGAAAAAAATGATTACGATTGGATATAGCAGCCGCACAAGAAGGAGAAAACCATGGAGTAGAATGAGGCTTGACTTAAAACCGACGCGAAAGAATAAAAGCTTCCATTCCAGCCTGAATCCAGGAGGTTACGTAGGAGGCGCATTTGTCAGCTGAGAGAGAAAAAACATCAGCCCAAAGACCATCACGAAGAAAATCACGGAAGGAATCCCAGTCAGTTTTAGGTTAGTAGTAGGTGGTGCGATGATAAGGTGAGCCCAAAAAAGAAGTACGAGAAGAAAGATTTATAGAAATCATTGCATGGTCAGAACCACCTAAGAAAGAAAAGGGAGAAACTGAACATAAGCTAGGGTCAGAGACAAGACATAAATCAAGGAGTGAAGGTAAATGATTAGGGTTGTCAGGAAAACGAGTCACAAAGTTAACTATCTAAGTAAGAGATTGAGAAACGCAGAAATTAAAGGCTTTAGTACCAGCAGAATCAGTGGTGTTAGAGCCAAGCCATTCAGTGTGATGGGCATTAAAATCACCAACAACAACAATATTGGCAGAGGGGTAAAGAGAGAGGGCGTGGTCAATTTGATCAGAGATAACATCTAAAAGAGTGCAATCATGGGAAGAAGGAGAACGATAAAGAACAAAGAGAAAGGTGATAAAGTGAAGAGGTGCTAGGCGAAAGCACATAAAAGAATGGTCAAAGGATTCGAACCTGATTTCACGACAAATAGGGGAATTAATGCGTATGTATACCCCTAAACCTAGCATGTGACTGATGGAGTCTTTACGAATCAAAGGATAGTACCCATCAACACTGACATCTGAAGAAGGATATGCAGAACTTAATTTTGTTTCACTGAGTGCAAGCAAGTCTGATGAATTTTGCAGGAGGTAAGACTCAACTGATGGAAAGTTGCTTCGTAGACCGCGAATATTTGTAAAAGATATATTAAAATATTTAGGGGATGGTTTTTTAGGTTTAAAATTTTTGGTTACTTTAGTCATGATTTGGGTTTAATATATATATTGGTTTTATATATATATATATATATATATATATATATATATATATATATATATATATATATATATATATATATATATATATATATATATATATATATATATATATATTGATAAATGTTGTATACTGCTGGAAAATAGAACTCTTGTTTGTTTAAGAGTGATCAAAATCTTTTTTTTTAAAAAAAAAAATTAATTTTAAATTTTAAATGCGTTTTTAAATGGCTTAGCCGTATTTAAAAACGCAAGCGGTCCAAAAATGGAAAAAAATTAAGAAGCATTTTATTAAAATATTCAAACAAAAAAACCTCAGTATTTCCATTCAATCTAATATGAAAATTGTTAATTACCTTGATGTTACATTTAATCTTAATAACAACACTTTTCAACCTTACCATAAACCTGATAGTACGTTAAATTATATCTATGCTAATTCCAACCATCCACCAAACATTTAAAAACAATTACCAATCTCAATTGGACATAGGTTATCTTCCAATTCTTCAAGCGAAAAAATATTCCAAAAGACTGCTCCAATTTATAATGACGCATTAGAAAAATCTGGATTTCACACCATTTTTCAATATCATTCAAATCTAAATTCTTCTATTACTAATAAACGAAAAAGAAATATTATATGGTTTAACCCTCCTTACAGTAAAAATGTGATAACAAAAATTGGACATATTTTCTTAAACTTAATTGACTTGCATTTTCCATTACATCATAAGCTCCACAAAAAATTCAACAGAAACACAATAAAAATTAGTAACAGCTGCATGCCAAATATTCGATCAATAATTAATTCACACAACCAACAAATTTTGCGCAACAAACTTACCGATAATGATATAAACTGCAACTGCATTAATAAAACCACATGCCCGTTAAATAATCAATATCTATCAAAAAATGTTGTTTATAAAGCCACTTTAGAATCACCTAATACCAGTCTTACCGAAAAATTCTACATCGGGATTAGTGAAAACACATTCAAGCTCAGATTTGCAATCCATCTTAAATCATTTAATGCAACCAGGTATTGGAATGATACGGAACTTTCAAAGGAAATCTGGAAACTTAAAGACGCGGGTAACATGCCTATAATTAAGTGGAACATATTTAAATGATGCTAATCTTTTAACCCATCTACAAAAAAGTGTAACTCTTGCATCAATGAAAAGTATTTTATTATGACTTTTGATAGTCGACTACTACTTAACAAAAAAAGTGAATTGGTTTCTGCATGTAGGCATAGGAAAAAACTTTTGCTGTCTAACTTTGATTCCGGCGATTAGCAAATATCGGATCACGTACAATTGACGTCAGATGCTGTTGCAACGCTAAATTTGTATTTTTTAAAACGGTTTTTATTTTTTACTTGAATAATATGGCTGATGATTGCCGAATGGTATGAAACTTTTAGTTCCATCTTAAAGTTGCCTTTTTTTCATTTAAATTATTTTATTATATATATATATACATATATATATATATATATATATATATATATATATATATATATATATATATATATATATATATATATATATATATATATATATATATATATATATATATATATATAAATATATATATATATATATAAATATAAATATAAATATATATATACATATATATATATATATATATATATATATATATATATATATATATATATATATATATATATATATATATATATATATATATATATATATATATATATTTATATATATATATATATATATATATATATATATATATATATATATATATTTGGAAAAGCTTTTTATCAAAAGTAACAAAGCCCTTTTGGACGTAAACTTTCTTGAAAACTGCAAGCTATTTAAAGTTTACCCAAAGTTTTTAGGATTTAACATACCTCATGCAAACCACAATGATGTAATGTCGATAAAAAGAAGGTTACTCAAAAGTGCGTTACATAAAAGTTCAAACGAACAAAAATTATTGCAAAAAGAATTAGATGAAATAAAGTGCCAAGTAAGAAATAATTGTTCAACCTTACAATGGTATTTTTTAATAAAGGTTATTAAAAATAATGTAAAGAAAAAAGAACAATCAATTATAAAAACCCACGAGAAAAAATTATGTTCACTCACTAAATTTACTAGCATTCCTTATAAAAATAAAAACTTCGTACAAAATATGTCTTCATACACTTTACAACACCATGAACTGGATTTATTGAATAATGGTCTTAACTTTGCCTTACCACCAGCGTTTATAAAAAAGATGGACGTTTTTGCTCAATTTGATAGCGTTGCACAATTTCTCAACACCCAACTTAAAACAAGGATTCTGAACCTCAACTTAAAAGTGAGTTTTCACATTTAGCAAATAATTATGTTTACAAATACACGCCGTCTGAAAGTTGTCTGAGAAAACACAAAATAATAAAATTACTTTTATCTAAAAAGAATTACTGAAAATAAAAAATAAATGTCTTTAATACAAATAACAAGTTAAGAACAGTTTAAATGAACCTTATACAAGATAAAACTGAATAGTGCATAACACAAATAAAGTATATCCGGATAAAGAGTTGAAAAAATAACTACTGAAATAATGTTTTATAGAAACAATCATCTACAGCTGGCATGTAAGGATACATAGAAACAATTTCTTTTATCTTCTCACTAGAAATTTCAATATTTTGTCGAAAACAAGATGCCAATGGAATTGATGATTCTTCAAGATTACTTCCTGATGATCGTGTGTTTTTTTGGCTTAGACAGCCGTGCCTCTTTATAAATATCTGTAAAACGAGTCTTGAAATACACATAACCAGGAGCATTAAACCTATATACAAGCGTTTTAACATTAAAGTATGGAACATTTTTGTAGTTCAGAAGACTAGCAATTTTTGAAAAATTTTTAATATCGCTTTTTTGCATTTGGTATACAAAAAATGGTTTACGTTGGTTAACATTCAACATTGCTTTCACCAACCCAAGAGGACTAAATATTTCTGCTGAATGTGATGATTTCTCAATCTGACTATGTATATTATCACATTCCTGAATAGAGCTGTGCCCTGGCTCACAATACTTTTGCTCAATGATTTCAATATTTGGATGATCAATAAGAAACTCACGCAATGCAGCTGACATATGACTGTTTCTATTCTGTGGAACGCAAGAATCAAATCAAAATTATAAATTTATTAATATTAGGAAGATCCTTGTAAACTTTATTTGGCATACATATCACAGCACTGGCAATGTCATTACCAGAACGACCTGACATACCTTCATGCCATAATATACAATATGCTTTTTGGTTCAGAGAAAAGAGTGACCTGTTAAGTTATAACAGCTGAGCTTTCTTTTATAAAAGAAGTTTCCCACATTACTTTTTGGCAAGCTCAAAACATTTTGTAGATCAATACAAACTATGGTTGTGGAAAGGGAGTTCAACTTTCGATCCTTATCTCTCTCAATTTTTGATTCATTCTTTGATGCAATATGCTTGTTATACTTTTGGATTTGCTCTTCATTTGCATTTTCAATAATTTGAAATATGTAGCATGTATCACACAGATCCTTTTTCGGCTTTTGAAATTCAATATTAAATTTTGTATTAAAAACATTGCAGTACATACATGCCTTTGCTGGTGAAACTTCATATTGAGTGCAATAGGTTAAATACAAATTATAAAGTTTCTTCAAATTTAATGACCCATCAAAGTATTGTTTGCAGGAAATGCTTCAACAATAATGTGACTCAACTCGTGGAAACAAGTTGATATGGTTTTCTATACTCTGTTTAGTCATTTCAAGAACTTTTTTTTTACAATGTTTCCCCCATTTTGTTGGGGCAGGAACACCAGTTTCAAGTTTATTTTCATGATAGTATGATATTTGCCTGCTGCTGATGTCTAATGTAGACAAATAAAACTCAAAGAAATTGTAAAAATAAGCATATTTTCTTTTTGAATTGCTTACTTTATTGGTTCGAGATCTTTTTTTATCTAATCGTTCAGTAGTTTTACTAAATAAGTGTTGCTTTTCAATCTGAGACATTCCCCACAGTCTATTAAATAATATTTTTCTCTAGTCTTCTGAAATCTTCTCAAAACACTTAAACTTGCAACAATTTTTACAATCTTTTTTATTTTTAATACTTCTTGGTTGAATAACTTTGCCTCTAACATTTATATATTCCTTTCCTGATTGTCTAAGTCGCTTTCTTTTTTACTGTTTCCAGTTATAACAGTTTGCTTTACGTTTTCTTGTTTTCCCACCATGTGGAGGTAATCGCAGTTGATCAGAAATTAAAGGATGCGTTGAAACATAGGGTGTAACCATGATATTAGCTTGTTGTGGGTAATCTGAAAATAAAAATTAAACATAAAAAAGGTTATGCAATGCAAAATAATTGTATGTTTGAAGATATATTATTTTAAGAAGAGACAAATTTTTTCCATATATGAAACGATTCATTTGAGTCTTTATTTATTTAGTATATAAAACGTGTTGTATATACTAAATAAACAAAGACGTATGGAATACTTGAGGATATATAATATACTGTTGTATATGTCACATACACATACAAAATATACATACATAAATAAAAAATATACTCACATATAGTAAATATGTATCACGGATTATATAACCGATTCTGTTGTATATTTGACATATACAATAGTGTATATATATAACCATATATATTATATGATATATATACACTGTATGTCACATATACTACAGAATCCGTCTGCTTTTAATTAGATGATGATACATTTCTTACTAAAATAATATGTTATAAGAATTATAAATAATAACTAAAAAAACCCGATTGACACTAGAATATATAAGAAAATACCTATATTTTTGTTTATTACTCTAAGATATACACTATTTTCATCCGCCATTTTAAAATTAAATTACAGGAAATAAACACGAACTGATTACTTAATGTGAATTATACGCAATTTTATTGGTTGTTGGAAATATAACAAAATAACATTAAAAAGTGTTGATATTTTGCAAATAGAACAATCGGATACACCTGATTTGACACTATTAAAAAAAAAATAATTTCAAAAGTAAAACAGCTAAAAAGAAAAATTAACAATAAAAAAGAAATTGGTATTAACTTATTTTTCTCAAATTTGGAGATAGAACAAAATAATTCTAACCTGACGAAGTGATAAAACTAAATTTAAATAATTAAAAGATGATCCAACTATAAAAAGAGAAGTATCTTTACAAGGGTATCTTAGAAAACTTAAAAAACTTAAATGTTTTGAAAAAAATATTTACATCAAAATTTATCCTGTTGGTTCACAACCAGCAAGAATTTATGCTCTACCTAAGATGCACAAACTTAGTAAAGATTCTTCTCTACCATCTTTTCGACCGATTATTTCAACAATTGGCACATATAATTATAAAGTTGCTAAACATCTTTCAGATTTATTATCTCCATATTTACCAAAGCATTATACCACTTTTGACTCATTTTGATTCGTTGAAGATTTAAAACAAGTTGACGTAACTAACAAATTTATAGTTTCTTATGATGTTGAAAGTTTATTTACTAATATTCCACTTAATGAAACTATAAATATAGCAACAGAATTATTTTTTAAAGATGAAACTCGCTCAAAATATTTTTCTAAAACTCATTTCAAAAAATTACTTCAAAATTCATCGTCAGGTTCTCATTTCTTATTTAACGGAAAATTTTATAATCAATTAGATGGCGTAGCAATGGGTTCTCCTTTAGCGTCAATTTTAGCTAATATGTTTATTGGTTTTCATGAACAAATGTGGTTTAATAATTGCTCATCCTCCATACCGATTTTTTATAAACGTTATGTGGATGACATAATAGCATTTTTTAATTCAGAGTTTGAAACGCAAGAATTCTTTAAACATCTCAATAAACAACACAAAAACTTATGATTTACTATGAAAAAAAAAAAAGACAACCAAATTCCATTTTTGGATGTTCTTATTAATAAGTCTAATTCCCTCTCTACATCAGTTTATCACAAAAAAACATACACGGGTCTTTTACAAATTTTCTTTAGTTTTGTCCCTTCATGTTACAAAACTGGTTTGGTTTAAAACTTTGGTTTATCCTTATCAAATCCAAACGTGGTTTGGATTTGATAAGGATATAAAAAATCTTTCTTTAGTTTAAAAAAATAATCAATTTCCACAAAAAGTTATCGACACTGAAATTAAATTATATGTTGAAAAGGAAATTAATCCACTTGTTATAAATACTGTTGATAATACTGATATAAGATATTTTAAGCTTCCATTTATTGGATTTTACTCAAATTTCACTAAAACTAAAATTGATAAAATTATTAAAAAGTAATGTAAAAATGTAATAATCAAATTTATATTCACAACCGATAAATTAAAAAACAGTTTTTGCATAAAAGATCTAATTCCTAAGATGCTTAAATCTAACGTTGTCTACAAATTTTTTTGTGCTGGCTGTAACGCCAGTTATATTGGAGAAACCTCCAGATATTTGACAACAAGGATAAATGAGCATCTTACGAGTGACAAGCAATCGCATATTTTTAAACATTTAAATTCATCCATTAATTGTAAAACACTAATTATGATTGCTTTCAGATTTTGGATATATATATATATATATATATATATTGTTCTTTTTATTACATTTTAAATAAGCATTTTAAGGGTAAAAAGAAAGATCACTCAAAAAATACCAAAAGTATATTGTTAAATCTTCGATTGTAAAAATGCGTTCTTTAAGCTATCGTTTAAAAAAAATAGTTTGATGAATAAAATCCTGAGTAAAATTTTTTAATTAATTGGCTAATTAATATACGTAATAATATTTGGTACCAGCTAAAAGTAATTTTTGGCTTGAATTTGTTGCTAAAACTATTAGTAAAATATTTTTTAATCATTTAGCACCTAATAATATATATTTTTTTAACAAGTTCCGTGTTTTATAATATATATAAAAATGGCAAGGACGAGAAGAATACAGGTTTGCCTTATTACCAAGTCCCTTGTAATTTCAAGATATTTATATAAATACGTTGTGACTAAAATTAAAAATGAGAGAAAAAAGAAAATTGTTTCAAAGAAGTTTATAGAAAACGCAAAATAGTTTAATAGAGTATTTCGAAGTTATTCTTAATGTTTAAAAAATATTTTTAATTATTAAAAGGTTCTCAATAACATATCGGTTAACTACGGTTATGCAATGCTATTTATATTCAAATTTCAAAGTTATTCATTGCAAGAAAATTTAATAATTCATTCAAGAAAACAAAAATCAACAACAACAACAACAACAATAACAACAACAACAACAACAACAACAACAACAACAACAAACATGAAAAAATGAAAACATAAAAGTTAATTTCCAATCAAAAGATATATATATAAACATACACATACACATGTATGTATATACACACTTATACACACTTGCGCATGCATCCATATACACATACACACAAACTCGTACATAAATGCTGTAAATTCATAATTGCTTTTAAAATAATTGACAGTAATTTATATATAATTAAAGACTTTAGTTCCATCGAGACAAATAAAGTATGTACTAACAGTTATTTTTCAAATATAATACTTTTAAAGATAGATTTAAAAAGAATTCTCTGTTTGATTGTTATTAAAAAGCAACAGTTTTATCTTTTGTTTAAACTGTTCAAGAGTTGTAAGTATTTTAATATCCGATAATAAGTTTTGGAAGTGCAATAGGGATTTTATCATTTTTATGTAGGCGATGAAAGATAGCATATTTAGTTTCAGTTAAATTAATTGAAAGTTTATTCATATTTAACCATTCAGTTAGTTTTAGAAGTTTAATTTTAACTGTTTTAAATAATGTTGTTATATCACTATGAAAATAAAATAAATTTGTGTCATCAGCAAATAATATAGAGTCTAGAATATTAGAAGATTTGCTTAAATCATTAATATAGATTAAAAATAAAAGTGATCCTAATATAGATTCTTATATATATCTTAATATAGACTCTATATTCTTATATATATCTTAATATAGACTTCTTATATATATCTTAATATTGACTCTAGGAACGCCGCAAGTAATTGTCATATTGTTAATTTTTTCATTGCCAAATGAAATATATTGTTTTCTATTAGATAAAAAGCTTTTGAACCAATCTATTTTTATATTTTGGATTCCATAGATTTCTAATTTTTTAATTAAAATACTATGATCAACATTGTCGAATGCCTTAAATGTTTTAGCAATTATTGTTTCATTTGTAATATCTTGATGATGATAATTAAGTTTTTTTGGAAGGCCATTTAGCTTAAGTGTTTTGTTTTTTTCCAATTACTTCTTTAATGACTTGCCACGTTTTTTGAGTATCGCCTTTAAATTTTATTATTTTATTTGAATAGTACTTCTTTGAAAGTTTAATAATTGATTCAAAGTGACCTTTACATTTTTTATACCTTAATTCATTTTCATAAGTTCTTTTTTTCAGAAACATTTAAAATCGTTTTTTTGTTTGTTTTTTTTTTTATGATTTTATTATTCCTGGTGTAATCCAAGGGTTTATAAATGTTTTAGTTTTAATAATTCTTTTTACCACTGGGAAAGCATGATCATAGTGTTTTTTGAATATCTGTGTTTTGAATTTGTAAAATTGCGTCCCAGTTTTCAGAAAATAGATAATTATTAAAATGTTCCAAAGAAATGTCGTTATATAATCGATTTGTAATAATAATTTTTTTTTGAGGGGTGTGTTCGACAACTTTATGTGCGATTATAAATAATGGGAAATAATCCGATATATCAGATATCCGATATATTATTATTCCAGTTTTTATTTTGTTTTTTGTATATTCATTGATTATTATTTGATCAATTGAAGTTGCGCTATTCCTAGTAATTCGTGTTGTTTTATTTATTAGTGGAATGAAACCTTTTTGAAATATGATGTTCATAAAATTTTTTACATTTTTATTTGTATCGTAATCAAGCACATTATAATTAGAAACCCCCACAAAAAAGACACGTTTGCCTCAAAAAATTTATTTTTAATTAAATTTTAAAAGTGCTTTTTAAAAAAATTATAATTGCCAGATGGCGGTCTGTACACAACATGTACAATGATGTTTTTAGTGATTTTATTTATAACTTCAATCGTTACCCAGTAGGCACGGGACGTAAAAAAGACGTCCTTAGGACGTTCAAATTGGGTCTGTCTGTCCCATTAAAATTCTAAGCGTCCAATAATTTTTTCGTCCAAAAAATATCCAGAATGCTTAATTAAGGTATAAGACCCCTCAAAAAAAAAATTATTAAAAAAAGTTTTTTTATAGTATTCCTAGGCCCCCGGTGAAAAAAGTTGCTTTTTGCATTTTTGAAATAAGGAAGAGTCTTCTGATAATAAACAAAAAATTTCTGGGGATGTGTTGAAAGGTCTCAGAGCATCTTCCTAAGCACTGTGAATATATACTTATATATACTTATTTAAACTTATATATAATTTTGTTATAAGCTTTTATATAAACTTATATACAATATCAGATCTTCCCAATATCTACATTCTATCATTTTAGTGGCATAATTGAAATGATATTTAAAAATGGTAGTTTATTTTATCTACCACTAACACCATTTTTGTTCCAAATGTTTCAAGTTTAATAAAAGATAATAAAAAACAAAGAGTAAACTATTTCTAACATAAATCACTTAGCCAGTTTAGTTTACATGTTGAGTCTACTATGTTGAGATTTTAATGTGTGACTTTTATTAGTAATTTTATTACTTTTATTAATATTTTTTAATAGTATTTAACGTTTTGCGAACGTTTTTTAATGGTCCCGTAAAAACGTTGTTTATTGGTTTGTTAAATGTCCATATAAACGGCGACCGAACT